CCCCCACCAGAACTTCTCAGACCCTGATGTTGTCTGAGAACTGCTGCTAAAACCCCATTACCACCCAAGGACCCAGAGACTAGGTCCTGATTGGCCCAAACTGAGCACCATCATATCTCTCAGCATCCTTAGAGCTGAGCTGGCACCTCCACGGCTTGCCAACTGGAAACAGCCAAAGTCATCAGAAAACTGACATCAGCCTCTTGATGCATCTAAGGGGAGGAATCTAATTTTCATTGCAAATCTTTCTTGTAAGGGGAACTGGGGAGTGTTATATTTTAACTTTTTGTATTCTGCACAAGAGGCAGATGCACAGAAGGAGACTGGATACTAATTCACCACATCTATCAAAGATCCTGGCAGGTAGGAATGATATCATTTCTCTGCATGCTCAGTCACTAAGTTGCGTTCAACTCTTTGGGACCCCATAGACGGTAGCCCACCAGTCTCCTCTGTCCATGGGATTTCCCAGGCAAGAATACTGGAGTGGGTTGTCATTTCCTCCTCCAGGGGATCTTCCTGACCCAGGGATAAAACCCACATCTCCTGTGTCTCCTGCATTGCCAGGCAGATTCTTGACCACTGAGCCACCTGGAAAGCCCATCCTTTTTCAGTAGCAATAATTAGAATAAAGTGTTGTCACCGAGAGCAAGAGAAACTGTAGAACAAAGGAACAGACTGCTTCCGCGAAGTAGTCTCTGAAAGTAGGTGATAGTTCCAAATCGCTATGTATGATTTGAAGAATGCTTGCTTTCCTATATTATTATGCTATTCAAACAAGCTGGAGTTGATATAAGAGCCTGATAGCTTACTTTAAGATTTTTTTCTATAAGATGCTAGTTACAGATAGAAGTAAGTTTTCATTTGTTTTAACTACAAATGCTGCTACTGTCCTTATACCAGGTTTCTTTCTATCTCTACATTCTTCCCCCAAGTCACATCATCCATTCCCCTTGCTTTACTTCTATTTATTTGCTTATTTTTTGATGTGGATCATTTTTTAAAGTCTGTATTGAATTTGTTACAGTATTGCTTCTTTTTTTTTTTTTTTTTTTGCCACAAGGCATGCGAGATCATAGCTCCTCAACCAGGGATCAAACCTGTAGCCCTGTATTGAAAGGTGAAATTCTAACCACTGAACTGCCAGGGTAGTCCTGTATTGCTTTAAATAACATTTCCTTATTTTGATTCCAAAATGAACAGTCCAGCCCAAGTCTCACCTCTGCAGATCAACCTTGCAGGCTTTAATCCACACTCAGCATCTCCCCTGCAGGGTCTCAAAGGCCTGCCCTGAAAACCACTGGGTGTAAGACAGGCTCAAGGATGTACATGGACCTCAGGGAATCTTGCTAATATTTTATAATAACTGTAAGTGGAAAGTAACCTTTAAAATTGTGTAAAAAATGCTTTCCTTTAACAGAGAAAACTATACAGCAATAAAAAAGAAACAAACTACTTATTCACATAGAAACATGAGTCAATCCTAAAATCACTTTGCTGAACGACAAAAACCAAACCAAACAGTAATACACATACTATGATCTCATATACTATAAAATTCTACAAATTAGCAACACATTTTTAATGATAGAAACCAAACTGGCGATTGCCTGAAGATGGTGAAGGTAGGAGTGGAAAGGTCTTCCCGGCCCAGGGATTGAACCCAGGTCTCCTGTGTTGCAGGCAGATTCTTTATTGTCTGAGTTACCAGGGACACCCAGAAAGTGCCTAGAGGCAGATATCAAATGGGTTCGAGAATACGTGGGGGAAATGGATGTTTATTATCTTATTTTGGTTATGGCTTAATGGGTGTCTATACATGAGAGACAACTCATTGGAAAAGTGCCTGATGCTGGGAAAGATGGAGGGCAGAAGGAGAAGAAGGCGTCAGAGGGTGAGATGGCTGGATCACTGATGCAATGGTCATGAACTTGGGCAAATTCTGGGAGATGGTGAAGGACAGGGAGGCCTGCAGTCCGTGGGGTTGCAAAGAGTCGGACATGACTGGGAGACTGAACTACACAACAATCACATGAGAAAACCTCCAGCTGTACACTTCAATACATGCACTTACTGTGTCTCCATTGTCCCTCAGTAAAACTTTTAAACCAGAATGAAAAGGAAAGAAATAACTGTCCATTTTCAAAGCAAAAGTGGGCTTCCACACAGGCATGGCTGACTCAAGCTTGAAATACCCACTGCCCATTTTTTCACTGAAAACTGGAAATAGTTCACTTCTATCAAAAACTGTTGTAATTCTGCTTTCCTGCAGAGATAGTACAATGGCAAATCCCAAGAATAAAAAAAGGCTCTCTACTGAACAATTTACACTAACATGCGCCCTTATAAGCATGCATATACACACACACCTGCCTGCCAGCCCTGCTTATGTATGGAAGTTGTTTTTGCTGTATGCATGGTTTGAAAATCAAGCTATCTCCTAAGTTTTCTATTTCAAAATGTTTAGGTTGTACATTTTAAAGTGTTGTAAGTGCAAATGTATTCTATTTTAGGGGGAAGAGAATCCTCTGTGCAACACAGTTTCACTGAGTTGTGAATTTCACAAGAGCGCCTATGTTGCAGCTGCACACGCATTTGGAAAGTGAAAGTGTCAGTCACTCAGCTCTGTCCAACTCTTTGGGACCCCAGAGACTGTAGCTCACCATGGCCCTCTGTCTCTGGAATTCTCCAGGGAGAAGACTGGAATGAGACGCCATCCCCGCTCCAAGGGATCTTCCTGACCCAGAGATTGACCCTGGGTCTCCTGCACCGCAGGCAGATTTCTTACCTCTCAACACCAGGGAAGCCAGTGATGTTACTCTCATTTTGAAACACTGTTGCTACCTAAACAGAAGCAGATACCCTGGTGTGTTAAAGCGCTGGTCATTCAGTCGTGTGCGACTCTTCACAACGCCACGGACTGTAGCCCTCCAGGCTTCTCCATCCATGGGATTCCCCAGGCAAGAACACTGGAGTGGGTTGCCATTTCCTTCCCCAAAGTGCCGTGGACTTACATATGAAATTAATATCTACTTGAGAGCACAAGACTTTACAGGACTTCTGGGCCTCGGGCCCTCCAGTTAAGGTTCTGTCCTGGAGGGGCATGTGTTTCCTGGCCTTTGAGGTTGAGCGGCCCCATTAGTCAGATTTCACGAGCTCATGCTGCATGGCGAATGAGCTCAAAAACGCAGCGCTTTGCCACAAGAACTATTCATTGTCATAGCAGACATCAGGGGATGCAGGAAGGCTCTGCGTCTTCACTTCTGTGGGTCGGGTCTGCTCTCTGTGCTTTTTATTCCAGGAATCAGGCTGTTGGAATGCCATTTTGGAGGATGATAGAGGACAGGAGCTAGGGTAGAAACGTGCTGCTACTTCTAGAAGCCTCTCCTGCTAAGTGCCTGTGCACCAGGAATGGAATTGCAGTCCACTCCCACTTCTTAGCCAAAACAAGTCACCAAGAGTATATTGGGGAAGCGATGTGTGATGCTCTTGTAAGGAGAAGAGGGAGTTAAAAATTGGGAAGATACTGGGTTGGTCAATACACAATTCAATTTACCACAGATGCTTTCGAGGAAAATTCTCAGAAGTCACATCATCATTTAGTATTTGTGGGATGTCAGTGGGGCTCAGCCTACTGGTCCCCATTTAACAGATCAAGGAGCTGAGTCTCAAGTAGGTTAAGAGACTTGCCCAGTCCCAGGGTCTCCATCTTCATCTCCCAGCTCCATAATTCTTACATTCTTCCTAGTACACCATAGAGGAGATGGGAGACTCAGTTTTGCATTCCTTTTAGTACTTGGCACAGTTGCTTGCTTACAATGTTTACTGGTTATATTTTATGAAATACAGCTCATGCATGGATTCATCAAATACTTACTAACATGTATCTTGAGTCATGTGCTATGCTAGATGCTGAGGCCATATCTGTGAATTAGATAGACACAGCTTTGCCTTCATTGAGCTTACATGAAAGGGGAAATAGTCCAGTTTTTAAAATACATGATTTTACCACTTTTCTCATAATTTAAAATTTCCCAATGAATTAATGCTACCATCAGTCTCTTTACCAAAGGTCAGGACTGGGCAAATTACCTACCATTTTATCAAAGGAAGTGATGAGATAGGGTAAGAAAAATAGACTACAAGAGTTTTATGAAAAAGATCAAGTTTTTTGGTCCATGGGATTCATCCTGCAGATTCATTTTCCTAATTTGCAGCTTTTCCCCCTGTCATTCCTGGAGAAGGAAATGGCAACCCACTCCAGTACTCTTGCCTGAGAATCCCAGGGACAGAGGAGCCTGGTGGGCTGCCATCCACGGGATTGCACAGAGTCAGACCCAACTGAAGCGACTTAGCAGCAGCAGCAGCCCCTGTCATTCCAGCCTGTTTTCTGTGAACCTTTGAAGTTCTCATCTTTTCAGGAATAGGTGATTAGGATTCACTTTCAGATTCTTAAGATTAAAATGGAAGATGGATGATCAATGAAGTAGTCAAATATTGGCTGGATTTGTCTAGAAATCTTGTAGTCATGAATGGATGTGAAAGTTGGACCGTAAAGAAGGCTGAGCACCAAGAATTGATGATTTCAAATTGTGATGCTAGAGAAGACTCTTGAGAGTTCTCAGGTTGCATGGAGATTAAACCAGTAAATCCTAAAGGAAATCAACCCTGAATACTCATTGGAAGGACTGATGCTGAAGCTGAAACTCCAATACTTTGGCCACCAGATGAGAAGAGCCGACTCATTGGAAAAGACCCTGATGCTGGGAAAGATTGAGGGCGGGAGGAGAAGGGGGTGGCAGAAGATGAGATGGTTAGATAGCATCACCAACTCAATGGACATGAGTATGGGCAAACTCAGGGAGATGGTGAAGGACAGGGAGGCCTGGCGTGCTGTGGTTCATGGGGTCACAAAGAGTCGGACACGACTGAGCGACTGAACCACAAACAACTTGTGTGTATCCTGACTGGAGCAGCCCGGATCAGTGGCAGAGAACCAAATGGAAACTCGGGCAGCAGTCATGGCCTGTGACGAAGGTGCCTGGGTCCCCAGCTCCATTTGGAATGTTGTAGGTATACAACGGATGGAGCTCTTGTTAAAGTTCTTAGATATTCTTGCCGAGAATTACAGGTAAAACAGAAATTGTCTTTGCTGTTTCTATCTTTTTCTTCCTTTTTTGCTCTTTATTTGTACAACACATTTGCCCTTTGGTTTGAACATATTTATTTTTACTACACACTGACTGCACACTTTTTGCATATATCACCTTTCACAGCATCCTTGTCTACCTCATAAAACTGTCAAGCAGCGTTTCCTGTCTCGATAGTGGAACAGATAGATATTCATTGAGAGCCAATTTAAGGCAAGCGCTCGGGAGAACACTGGTCAGCTGAAAAAGACATTACTTGGTCTGAGTTGATGCCCTACATCTGTCTCTATGCCGATCCCAATTTCCCTAGGGTAAAACCTTACAGGTATTCTGGAAATAAATTGTTGACAACTACATGTGGTTCATGGGGTTCAACACTTCATGGCAAGTAGATGGGGAAACAGTGGCTGACTTTATTTTTCTGGCTCCAAAATCACTGCAGATGGTGATTGCAGCCATGAAATTAAAAGATGCTTACTCCTTAGGGAAAGTTATGACCAACCTAGACAGCATATTAAAAAGCAGAGACATTACTTTGTCAACAAAGGTCCGTCTAGTCAAGACTATGGTTTTGCCAGTGGTCGTGTATGGATGTGAGAGTCGGACTATAAAGAATGCTGAGTGCTGAAGAATTGATGCTTTTGAACTGTGGTGTTGGAGAAGACTCTTGGGAGTCCCTTGGACTGCAAGGAGATCTAACCAGTCCATCCTAAAGGAGATCAGTCCTGGGTGTTCATTGGAAGGACTGATGTTGAAGCTGAAACTCCAATATTTTGGCCACCTGATGCAAAGAGGTGACTCATTTGAAAAGACCCTGATGCTGGGAAAGATTGAGGGCAGGCAGAGAAGGGGATGACAGAGGATGAGATGGTTGGATGGCATCACTGACTCAATGGATGTGGGTTTGGGTGAACTCCGGGAGTTGGTGATGGACAGGGAGGCCTGGTGTGCTATGGTTTATGGGGTCACAAAGAGTCAGACACGACTGAGTGACTGAACTGAACTGAACTGAACATGTGGTTCTGATGGTCATTCGCTAATCAAGTCACATTCAAAACTTCCAGTAGGAGTATTTCTAATATTCAGATATTCAAACTAAGGTAAACATGACTGATAAAGAGGAAAATGCATTTCAAACCTAGAGAAATGAAGTCACAGCATCAGATGTAAAATCCAGGATTTTAGACAACCTCGAATGTGGTCAGGAGGATTTGAGGAAGAGGAGAGGGCAGTGAGACAGCCTGTAACAGCATTGCTCCAGCATCCCTACTGCTTCCTGTGTACATTTACATATATTTCTATCTACTCCCAAGGCTTTCCTGGTGGCTCAGATGGTAAAGAATCTGCCTGCGATGTGGGAGACCTGGGTTCAATCCATGGGTTGGGAAGACTCCCTGGAGAAGGATTGGCTACCACTCCAGTATTCTTGCCTGGAGAATCCCATGGATGGGGAGCCTGGTGGGCTGTTTTTCTCTTGTCTTAAAGGAAACATTCCTTCTCCTTATATCCAAGGTCAAGTCCTAGAGCATGCCAGCCTCACCAGCTGCTCTGCAGAGATAGTGCACCATTAACTTCCTTTCTCCCAGGCCATCTCTTTATCTATAGGAATGTGAACAGGGCCAGTAGTTATCATCGTTTTTAAAGAATAGCCCATAAACAAGGCAGTCTCCATCCTGTCTATGCCCTATTCTCAGCATCTTTCCTTCACAGCCACCCCCCCTTGAATCAGCTTCAGCCAACCGCTGGCAGTGCAGCCTGCCACGTCCTCCCCTAGGGACAGAGCTTCCCTCCACCAACAGCAGTCCTGCTCCAGGAACTTTGCCCACAGAAGCAGACAGCCACAGAGATGAGGGTCAGATACTCGAGTATCGGAAGAAAGTGCCTAAAGCCACCTTGATGTAAAGCCCAAATTGTTCCTGCTCTGTACTTCACTTAAAAATAAATGGAACATCTGCATTTCATTTACACAGATGGTGATGTTTGCGCTGCTCTATGTTGCTCGGTCGTGTCTGACTCTGCAACCCCACGGACTGTAGCCCGCCAGGCCCCTCTGTCCAGGGGATTCTCCAGGCACGAATACTAGAGTGGGTTGCCATGCCCTCCTCCTGGGAATCTTCCCAACCCAGGGATCAAAGCTGCGTCTCCTTCATTGGCAGGTGGGTTCTTTATGACTAGTGCCGCCTGGGATGCTCTAATCAATGGCTCTTGCCCAATCAGACCCCCCTGCTGCTCTCCTGGGCACTCTCCCACCCGAGTGCAGGTTTCACCCTGCTGCCTGCAGGAACAATCACCCTCACTCTTGTTGAAATCAGCCACAGCATCTACTGTCAGCATCCTTGGCCTCTCGGAAAGTTTCACAAAACGCTTTTTCAAAGATCGCAGTTTACCCTCACGGTTAAAGGATGTGAAGTCCAGGTGAGGGAAGGGTATGTAGTTCTTTGAAGAGGGCGGAGTCCCCAGAGGCTGTGGAGTCTATTCTACATTTTACTTTTGAGTTAGTCTTTCCTGGAGCATAGTCGCTTTATGAGGTTGTGTCAGGTTCTGCTGCATGGCAAAGTGAATCAGCCATTTATGTATATGTATACACACACACGTATCCCTTTTTGAGGGGATTTCTTCTCCTTTAGGTCACCACAGAGTGCAGGGTCCAGTTCCCTGAGCTGTAGGCTAGGCACTCGTTAGTCGTCTATCTTACACACCGTATCAATAGCAGACAATGTCCACATTCTATCCGTAAGTGCCCCACAGAGCAACTGCAGGGAGTGTGTGCTGCTTCTGGGCCAACACAAAGGAGCAAGGAATCTGCACTACTCATAGCCGCCTGTACTCACCATTGTCTAGATTTCCTGCTGAGGGCACCAAAGCTGATAAATTCAGCCTTATGTAAAATTATCTCTGTCTTCCTCCTTCTATTACCTCGGAATTCATTCTCACGTGCATTGCCCAGAGAATCGCCTGTATATAAATCAGCGAAGTCTTACATGTCCTCTTCAAGGAGAGCCAGAGATCTGGCGTTGCGTAGCAGGTCTAGTACCCACACAATTTTCTCTTCCCTTTCTTAGAGTCAGGATGGTCAAAAGCCCCATTTTCACACAAATATGTAGCTGCAAATGGCAACCACGCTTGTCTACCCTGTTGCACGTGCTCTGTCTTGACACCTGAAGACTGATGCTGTGGCCACTGGCAAACATAAGGTCTGGTGCAATTTGTGAGGCTCCCCCCTTATAGTTTTTAATTAAATATTTGACCCTGTCATTGTAAAGCATTTTAGGAACCATTATTTATCATCATAGAAACAACATAGTCACTACTTGAGGGCTTTATTTATTTTTTCAGGTCCCCCCCGCCCCTGGAGTAACAGCAATTTAATCTTGCATTAAATGCCTCCAACATTTTCTTGCTCAGAAGGCAGACTCTATCTGACCAGCAGAGCAAGCTTTCAAAGGAATTAGTTCTCCCCTAGTTCTCACTCTTCAGCGTTTCTCCATTTTTTTTTCTAAAAATATAAAATCCAACATTACTTTCAAGACACAAAAGGCAGCGCCTTTTGCAGAGGGGTGTGTGTCCTCCAAATCTGTATCTCATCACCTTCTTTCCCTGTGCTCTGGGGTTTAGACACACTGGCTGATTTAAGAAAACCCCGTGAGCCTCCTGCTTCCCTACATCAGCGCAGCCTGCCCCGGCTCTCGGGGATGTGATGCCTGCTCACCTGTAGTAACTACAAACAGCATCCCCTGGCCACCTCTTCATGGGCTGGCAGCAAGGAACCCGCGCCTCTCTGTAATGCCATTACATTTCAGTTTTTTTATGTATCTTTGACCACCCCAGATTGGCGCCCATGAGTGTCTCCAAACGAAGGCTTATAAAACAATACCTTAGGGACTTGCCTGGTGGGCCAGTGTTTAAGACTGCATGCTTCCATTGCAGGGAGCCCCACTGCAGGTGGAGGGCGGGGCGTGGGGGTGGGGGTGGTAGTGGCACAGGTTCGATCCCTGGTCAGGGAACTAAGATCCAGCATGCCGTGAGGCTAAGAAAAGAAAATGGAAGTCAACTTGTTGAACTGAATAAAAAATGAAAATGCAGCATGTCAACTTAAATTTTAAAAAATTTTCTATAGAAAACCAACACCTTAAATGAAGTGGGGAAATGCAGATTAAACAAAATTAAGTAGCAAAGTGGGTACCACATGTCCTTAAGACTGTAACATTATTATAATAAAACACTTTTTCTCCAGAATTCAAGTAGAGTTTACTAAATGCCTGAAAGTGAAAGTCGCTCAGTCATGTCCGACTCTTTGTGACCCCATGGGCTATACAGTCCATGGAATTCTCCAGGCCAGAATACTGGGGTTGGTAGCCTTTGCCTTCTCCAGGGGATCTTCCCAACCCAGGGATCGAACCCAGGTCTCCCGCATTGTGGATGGATGCTTTACCAGCCGAGCCACAAGGGACACCCAACAATACTGGAGCGGGTAGCCTGTCCCTCCTCCAGCAGATCTTCCCGACCCAGGAATCGAACTGGGGTCTGCTTGCTTTCAAATCCTGAGATGCTTTTCAGTCTTCTTCTGAAGCAGAGTTTAGCAGCGCACGAGGGTGTTGTAAGGTCTGATTATGATGTAGGTTGTTCTGATGGTTACTTCATTTGACGGCCCTGAAACTAAACTCTTTTGTCTGACCTGCTTAGGGCCTTGGAGCATTGACTTCATCATGGGTTTATCATGGGTTCTCTTGGTTGGCTGCTCACAGTGGGTTTCAGCACGTGGAGTCCACCTGCGCGAGATTGTGAGGAGAATCAGGGTCTGAATGTCTTCCATTCTGCATTAGGCCGTGTTTCTGGGTCTTCAGGGCCCGAGGCTTTGGTGCAGTGGGCCCCGTCCCTTCACTGGGCTGTTAACAGAGTCGTCTCTTCACACTAAAGGGGGGAAAGGCTTCTCACCTTTGCTACTCTCTGACTGCTTCAACAGACCTCACCGGTTCATCAG